GCGTTCACCTCCCAGGGGAGGATAAATCAGGTTATGCTGTAGCTCCCACAAAATCCATAGGATTTTTCACTCCTTTCAAGTTCAGGGTCATTTTTTTTCTATTGGGTGTACCCATGCATCTCATAGAAGGTAACTGGATTATACAGATCTAACTAAAGGGATAATAGGATTTTATGTGTGTAAAGAATGGCAGCTGAAAAGAAATATCTTGACATGTCAGCGGAACAAGGTCCACTGAGTGAATCATGAACATAGAGCTAACATGTCATATTTTAAAGAAGAAAATTGTATTTTAATAGCAGGATCAGCGCTTCTAATTGTAACTTCATGGTTATGTGCCTGTAATTTAAAACACTGAGGATATGACTTATGGAATAGAAATCAGATAAGCGTCATTCTATCAATGAATGAATCCCAGCAATTACCTCTCTGCCCCATCCTGCATCAGGAAATCCTCTCTTGGAAAGGAGGGAATTAATATTCTACACGCATCTTCTGTGAAACTAGGGTCTACAGAGCAAGATGGTTTCTCAGAGATAGGTTTCATGAAGTCCTATATAAATGACTTTTTAATGAAGAATCCTAAGCCATCTTTTTACATGCATACCATTAAAAATATATAATGAGTGTGAGATCTAGTTACTTAAATAGTTATAGGATTGGTCTGTGAGGCACAAAGCTATTCTGGCATTCAAACTGTTTTTTATTTAGGGATGTGTATTCGGACAGCTAACCTCCTTTGGGCAGATAAAATATGGGGCAGAAAAAGGGGAGTCTACATATATTCATACAGAATAGCTATCGCTTTTGAAATTTGTATCATCAGTTACATTTCAATAGCCTTTCTCTGCAGACCAAATGCTCACATCTTACACCTGTCAACCTCAGCTCATTTTTCAGATTTTACAATAGCGGCTTCCTATACCTGCTGAAAATATTTTCACCTTCACAGTTGCTATAAAGACCCATATCAACAAGAAAGAGGAGTGGCTGGGCGTACAGTGAATCTGTTCTTAAGCTGCTAACAAAGAGACAAAGTGGAGGAAAAGGGAGGGAAGGGGTCTGCATGTGTTGGCGCTCACACGCATGTGGGCTTAATACAATTCCATTCACTCTAACTTTGGGACAAAATCCCAGCTCTGAAGCCAAGTGAGCCACACCACTGACTTCCCTGCAGATAACACCTTGCTATCTTTCAGCTACATTCATTTGAAATGCTGTACGAGAAGTGGATAAAGCTTTTTCAGACTCCACGTGTGAATCTTTAATTAACAGAGAAATACAGCAGTACTATCGTAACATATGGCTTATTATTTGGTACTTACCAGGTATATAGTTGCACAGTTTCTCCACGGCTGCCTTTACTGTGCTGTTGTGCCACTGTGCAAGCTGTTCAATTACAGACACCACAAGCACGCATCCTTCAAACAAACAAACAAAAAGACTGAATAGGGTTATCTGTGAGGTGTGATGAAGCACCCCATGCCATAGAAGTATTTCAGGCATTGTTGGGCATTTCATTTCTTGAGATGCTCCATGGCAGATGAGTGTTCAAGGAGAAAAAATATCTGTGAATTTCTGTCTTTGTTCAAAACTTGTAAGTTATCACAGAGAGGATGTGATGCCAGAGGAGCGCACAGAACAGCCTGGTTTTTACAGCACTGGATGTTGCTCCTGAAAAAACAATTTTCCATCCTTTCAAGAATGAAAATCAAGGAGCCAGGGGGACAGCCACTGTTACAACTGCCTGCTTGGCCACCTGCTCTCTCGTTATTTCTCACAAGAAAAAAGGTACAGGTCTGTACTTGATAGGACTTCTATACCTCTCCACACAAGCCACAGAGAGAGCTACCGAAACTGCAAAACAAATGGGTGTGAGTGCCTGCAGAAGAGACGTCACAAAGCAGACGTACGTGCTGACCACCACAAAGCATCCATTGCATCATTTCTTCACAGCCTTTCCTCTGAAGCCCTGTGGTGCTTGGCACGCACAGGGCTGCTGGGCCCAGCTACGCATTTGCTAAACCCAAAATGCCTTCAGAGTTCATTTTGCTCTCCTTCTGTGGTTGGAAAGAAACCATTTCCTATGACCTACAAAGCTGGTTATTTCTCATCACTAATCTGGGTGCGAACAGGGCTAAAGCTGAGCTGCTCCTTGGACTAGCTGTGACTGAGACCCAAGAACTTGCACACCATAGTGAAGCATTTCTTGAGATGTACAGCACTTTTTCTGATATTCTTAGGATGAAGTAGGTTCAATGTCGTCCCCACATAGCAATCATTCAAAATCCATGTGATGACCATAAACGGTTCATTTCAAGTCGATTTTAAATTGCTGTAGGCCAGCATTGTGCTCTCTGTTTCTGCAGTGCCTTCACCATTTTATAAAGAAGCCACATTTGGTGATGTGAAGTCTGACCAATATAGTCAGACCTGGGAGCCAGAGCGAGGTCCCTGCCTGGACTCAGAGCCTGTGTAACAGAGGTGGGTATCCCAGGCTGCCAGGAGGCAAGGAGCCAGGATGGCAGTTTCCAGCAGCCTGAATAAAGATTTCTCTTTGAAATCCCTGTAGCTGAACCCTGTTTCCTCCCCTCTGCAAGAAATCTCAGCTCTCAGGACTTGCTCTGACACAGTCTAGAAACAGAGGTGAGCTGCAGCATTTGGATGTGGCTGCAGATCCACCTTTTTCCAAAACTCAAGACCATTAATGTTCCGGTTTTCAGACTGGCACAACTCTTCAAAGTGCACTTTTAAATTCCTTCCAAGTACCCCTGCCTATGTGCTACTAAATCAAAGTGCTGTTTTTCAACGTAAATAACTTTGGTGCTCCTATGGATCAAGTAGCAAGTCAAAGAGGAGGTAATACAATTAGAACTTGCGGTAAGACCAATATCTTTGAGTCTTCTATTACTTCTTCTACCCCAAATACAGTAATCCAGTGGAAATTACAGTGAACTTGCCACATCTTTTGCAGGGATAAAAGCCCACTTCTCCATACTTATTAAATAAAACACTCACTCAAAGTCCTCTGCAGAATGATTTATAAAGCATGCTAAGAGCCATTACCTCCAGACAGCCTAAAAGAATAGGAGAATAAATGGAGACAGATACAACCAAGAAAAAACCCTGAAGCAAGTCATTCCTTCTTCCCTCTCCCCTCCCTCCCTGCAAAAATAGCCACAGGCTAGCCCAACGAATTGGCAGTTAATTAAAACACAATAGCTCATAAGGAAAAAAAAAGTAGAATAATAAAGACCCAAACTAAAACCAAAGGGGACATCCAAGCTGGAGGGTAAAGCGTGCTCAGGACTTGGGCTCAAGGAACAGCCCAGGGCCATCTGGTCCCTGTCTAATCACTAGCAGGTGCCTTAGCACAGCCTTACCCCGTGCCGTGCCCCAGGCAATGCTTGTGCTTGTGCTAGGGACCCGTCCCCAGAGCACATTTGGAGGAGGACACCCAGTCGAGGCAGGGGGCAGTTGAGGGGTGCAAGAGACTTCAGCTGTTTGGGTGCAAGCCATGCCCTGCACTGGCCCTAGAGACAGAAAACAGACCCTGACTTATTTGCAAGGGTAGTGTGGGCATAGCCACGCTGGAATGACTCCATCACTTAGCGCTGAGATGGTGGTGCACATCCTTGAAACACGCTGGAAACACACCTAAAAGGCATTGCATAACTTGGTTCTTAAAAGGTCATATTATTAACACACATGAGCAACCTACAGACAACCAAAACTACCCTTCCCCTACCGTCTGTTTTATTCATGAGGATGGAGGCTCAGAAAAATTAAAGTACCAAAATGGTGCCTTAACCACAAAACCGTGTACTGTTTCTGTGCCTTCCTTTCTTCTCTTAGAAAGGCCAGAGCCTTTATCTAACAATCTTGCTGTCTAGAAGTCAGAAACACAAAAAGGAGTCCAAGCAGAAAGACAGGCAGGAGCTAGTCCTTTGATATTTTCTAAAGGAGACAGCTTTTGTTGTTTTACCTCTCATTCTTTTGCACCAGGAGCTTGAGGAAGCTACGAATGAGGATGTGCCAGTGCTTAGCAGACATGGGTCCAGGAGTCTGTGAGGGATGAAGATGAGGAGGAGAGAAGGAAACTCAGGAGACACTGAGGTTAGCAGTGTTAGCAGAGGAAAATGCTTCAGAGGGCAGAGGAGCTGGGAGAGCAGACAGTCCCCAAAACACAGGCTGTAGCAGAACTGAGCACAGGGGCAAGTGGGCATCAGCGATGGAGCAGACGCTGATGTGGCTTGAGGAGCAGGACGGCCTGACCAGACTGCAAAATTGCAAGCCTGGATGAAGAGCAAGGGAAAAGCCCCCATTGCGAGCACAGTCATGAGCTCAGACACAGGGGGGGGCAGCTGAAAACTGGAGGGATCTGGGATGTCATGTCCCTGGGGCTCAGTAACCTGTCACACCAGGGAGCTGACACCATCACTGACTGCAACAGAGAGAAATGATGCTCATTTTGCCTGTGCTGTGTAACTCAGCGCTGCTGCACCTTCAGCTGGGGCCTGCCATTCCACTTTGTAGAGAGGACAGAGTCCTTCTCTCTTGGTCCCTAGCTCCCCTGTCCCCCCCAGCTACCTCTTCCACCCGCCATGCTTGCTGGGCATCCTCGCCAAGTGGCATGGGAACGGGGGGCACTCCAGCTGGGTCCCGCTTTCTAAAAGTCTGTCTCCTGCCTCTGGCACCCCCTCATCCTCTGTGGGACCAGAGGGTGCCGTGCGCCGCTGCAATGAAGCTTGCAGACTGCTGCCGGTGGGATTGGGATGCTGTCCGCCTCCCCCCGCTGCCCCCACCACAGCTCGTGCTTCCTGTGTCGTGGCGGGGGGGCGCCCCCCGCAAGCAGAAATCAACCTCCGCAATGTCTCTGCTTTCAGTTACAGCACTCTCGGGTGCCAAAATGTTGGCTCCAGCCCTGCAAGGAGAGATTTTATTTCAGTGTAAAAGCCGGCCTGATAAAAGCATCGACGCAACAAGTCAACCCTCTTGCAACGGGAAAGACCAGCTTACGACGCGGCCCCCACGCCTTCCCCGGCAGATGAGGAAAGAGCTTGCCTCTGGCTGCAGCGCTCAGCCCTGCCGCACCTCAGTGCACCGCTTTTACACTGAAATAGTTACTCACCCCAAGTGCAGGCTCAGCAGCCTGCCTAATGATTTGTCTCAGGGTGGGGGTGTGAAGAGGCTCCTCTCTCTCCGAGTCAGACGTTGCCCCCATGACTCTCATTTTCATTATCACAGCAAGGTCTTCTCACCTCCAGTAGAGCTGATGCAGAGAAAGGGGCTTATGGACAAACAGCCTGAGTGCTGAAAATCCAAAAAGTTGGGCTGAGGATAAAAATACCCCTGGTGTTTCCATTTCCTCTGTTATACAAGAAGACAGTCTCCACTGAAGATGTGAGTTTCTCTCCCATGTTTGTCACAGTACCACAGAGAGGGGGGGAAAACAATAGCTATTTTTGGTTCAGCTCTGCCGAATAGAAACAGAATTCTTAATCACAAGCACAATCATGCAGGTGAGCAAACTCATGGAGCAGTCTCCCAGCAATTAAATTTTTTGATGTTGATTAAGTCAGTTGGACACTTCTGTGTCTATCGAACCAGGCCCAAAGGGAGATTTGCTTCGCATGAGAATTAATAGAGCCGTTGCTGAGTTTGTGCAGTACTTAATGCAGTACCTTGGGCTACTAGATGCTATATGAATATAAATAACAATAATAATAGCCTGACTACTTGGGAAAAACCCACAGAGCTGAACTTCAAAATGTTTGCTCTAATAAACTAGTCTTTACTGTCACAGAGAGGATGCTTCTGGTCATGCTATTACACCCTCCCCACCTCGGGCACCCGCAGACCACACCTTGGTTATTCAAATGCTCTCCCGCAAATGCACTTACTCCAGGCGAGATGCTATGCTTCACAGGACAAGCCGATAAAGAAAGTCTTGACTGAGTTTTCAAAGGGGTCTGCAGTTCCAGTTGTGGCATCAGCCTCAGGCGCCGCGGCTGAAGTCTCTGCACCTGAATTTGGAGAGTCTTCCTGCCCTCCGGTGGGAAAGGTGCTCCCCAGGAACGTGTGCCACCAACGTGTGCCATCGGCTGATCTCTCTGTTTCCCCCATCTACCTGGGCTTTTATCAGGTGCCCTTGGTCCATCTCTCTCACTCCTCATGGTCTGCTGGCACCTCTTATTGCCCCACCATGGGCCATGCCCCAGGGGACACCCTGCTTATGTTTGGGCTCTGCTGGCCTCAAAGTCTTTCATTTAGACTGATGTCATCAGGAGCAGCTTTTGGGCTGGAAATTGTAAATTACTCAGGAAAAGGGTTGAACCCTGGGAGGAGGGAGGAGGAAGGAGGAATGTCTAAGGGGACTCACTGTAGTCCCACCTAGGGTCCCTGGTTTTTGGATAAAAAC